CTGTCTCTGGCTCTGGCGGAGAAGTACCGCTAAGGCGCAGACACGGAAGAGCATCGGGCAGAATTCTGCGGATCTGTCAAACATCAACATCAACAAAGATGCTATCTAAACAATGACAAAATAAAACAGACAATAAAGATTCCAGAACCGTGTGATCCTTGTGCTCATTTTCACTCGATTCCAGGTTTACTGTACTGTGCAGGTACAGGTAGCCCAGGTGTTTTGTTACTTACAGTGTAAAACCTTGTGCAAAATTGGTATCTTGAGCAGATATAAAAACATAGATCATAATTGTAGTAAACCCAGCACTTAACATATCAAGAGGTCAAAACATGTTGAGTTTAATATATCATTTTGCCAGAAATATTGTATATAAATACGAAATAAATTAATTACACACTACACGAATTTCATAAAACACTCTCCTTACGTATGGCTAATACTGGAGGGGTTTCACGTTAACACTTAAGTGTAAAATCCTTTTGAAAAACAGGGCATGGTAGATAAGAAAGGGTGCGAGCTCAGATAACGCGTGCAGTGGGACTCTTGCGTTCTTCTGTGGTTTAAAGATAAATCCGATTTCTGACAGCTTTGTGCTCAGGAAAGGCTCGCTGTCCAAACGGCGCTTTGCTCTGTTTACTGACTGCGCGGCAATACTGTGTTGTGATAATTTCTTTTCTCGGCGTTGGTCAGCACCGTGTGGCCAGAAAGCCGGACAAGAATAAAAACCGATTCTAAATATTTAAAACTAAACAAGCCGGTGATCGATTCATCCACAACAGATAAATACCCCCCTCCCAAAAAAACAACAACGAAACACTTTCATGCTCAACTGAAGAGAGCGATTCATTGGTGGACTAATTCTGAATGTTAGATGGTCAACGTGGACGATCCCAATCAACAAGTCCCTCAATTGATTGCGTGCAAGTGTACGAACCATTGCAGGTAACGTTACTCAGAAAGTTAAACCACTTTCATAGGCGCTAGTATAGTATAGATTAGTAGGCTGTTGTAGTCAGAAATACTTAAAACTACCTTTGCTATAGAAGTGTACAGTCTAATATCCTGTATATTTTTGAACGCTTTTTGTAAGATTAGTCCTGTCAACCCATTTGCTTGGTTTAATAAGTGTTTGACTATATCAGGGGAACACAGTCCTGTTCCTGAAGTGCCTGGGTTTCACCCCGACCCAGCTTAATTGCCTAATTGAAGCCTTAATTGAACTAAGAAGTTGGTTGATGGGGACAGTTTGTCTTCTACTCAAACGTGTGGGGTTTTCCTTTGCTTGCAACATACAGTATTTAAAGGGCGACCTGCAGCATGTTTACGAACTGAAAACAGTCAGAAATCAGTCTTATTATTGAGCCAATGGAGGTTTCAACAGTGTAACTGAGATCTGGACTGGAACAGAAACCAGCAAGTATATGGGTCAGGACCAGAACCCCTGAAATAGTCAGAACATAGGCATCCACCCGAAAATCCCTTGTCAAGTGAAGAGAAGCAGAGAGCTGGAGCCTAACCCGACACACACAGTGCCGCAGGATGTCGCGCACAAATACCAGGGGCACATTACACGCTCACAGAGAGAAAGCTGCAGGACAGGCAGATTCTTCAAATGCAATCATGTAGAAATCGTTTCAAGCGTTGCTAGGCATTCTGGCTTTTAAGGAACAAGTAATAGGTTTATTCCATGCTGAAAAGAGAAGAAAAAAACCCACAACGTTTCGGCTGTGGAGCCTTCTTCGTGGTGTCGAAGAAAACGTTGTGTTTCCCTTCTTCTCTTTTCAGCACGGGAAAGACCTTTACTTGTTCCTTTGCAGCCTACGCATGCTGACGCAGCTGCCCACCTGGACTGATCTGGCTTTTATTCCGGTCTTTACTCTCAGAGAGGCCGACAGCCAAGCCTATTCACACGTGCGCTTCGGCCAGGTTTTGGCGCGCTGCCGTCTTGCCAGTCTGGCGCCCGTCATCCAATCACAACTCGGCAGTTCGGTGGGAGGAGCCTCTCTCGGTCGATAAAAGGTCCCCACCGCAGCCTGGCAGCATGGGAGTCTCTGAGGAAGGAGTAGAACCCCAAAGACCCAAAACGCCGCCACCATGGTTCACTTCACAGATGCCGAAGCAAAAGCCATCAAGACCGTCTGGGGGAAAGTTAACGTCGACATAGTCGGACCTCAGGCTCTGGCCAGGTAAACCGCCATGATGTCCTTTGCTACGTGCATGCAGTTTAAAGAGTGTTCGCTAAATACACAGCCTTGCGCGGAAACGAAGTAATTAAGGGGACGGACATAAACACTATACGCTTGGTAACTACTTATGCATGCGCAAGTGGTCCTGTACGTTTCCTTTTGCCTAACCGGGGTGTAATAAAGGTGTAAGTCTCTTTCGATATTTGAAAATGGCCGTCTTCATTTCCTATTGGTTTATTGATGGTTTTCATCAGGCTTCTGATCGTTTACCCCTGGACTCAGCGCTACTTCGGCGCCTTTGGGAACCTCACCAATGCCGCCGCCATCCTCGGGAACGCCAAGGTGGCGCATCACGGCAAAGTCGTGCTGGGCGCGCTGGACAAGGCGGTGCACGACCTGGAGCACATCGTTGCGAACTACGCCAGCCTGAGCGAGCTGCACTCCACCAAACTGCATGTGGACCCCGACAACTTCAGGGTGAGTCGGGACGGCTGGCGCCTCTCCCGGGACTTGTGCATTAACAAGTATTTTCGGCTCCATTAACTTCTCTCCTGTCGGTTTCTCTCGCAGGTGCTGGGCGACTGCATCACCATTGTCCTGGCCGCCCAGCTCGGCACCGGCTTCACCGTCGAGCTCAACGCCGCCTTCCAGAAGTTCCTGGACGTGGTCATCGCCGCCCTGCGCAAGCAGTACCACTAGAGCCACAGACGATACCGCGAGGGTCCAGACTCTCGCCGGAGCCGCACGACCGACTAACTTAAATCCGCTGTCACTTTGACAGGAAATAATAACTTGTACTTCATTTAAAAAAAATAAAAATAAACCGCATTCTTCGAAAAACTTTCTTGTTTCATGTTTTAACTCCGTATAAATAACATAAATTATTCCAAGCAAATTTAATCATTCAAAGCAAAAATCTAAGGATATTTAGTTGCTTAAATACTTGTGTAACTTATAAAACATTTTGTCTCAGCATTACAACTGTGTAATCAAAGGGCTCCAACTGTTTCAATTCTGTGAACTCAAATATTATATAAGAACGATTACTCTCGTTGTTCATTATTTCTAAATAGGGATGTTTTAAATAAATTAAAATCTATTTGCTCCGTTGTTAGTTGCGGCGTTCTGCATTCATTGCTAAAAGACTGTGAAGGACTGGTTTTCAAACGAAGCCTTTCAAGCTTCCATGCTTGGTTTTGAGAATCCGTGTACGTAACCCACACAATTGCATTGCCTGTTATAAATCATATAATCACATTATAGAGTCTGACACTCTTTATAATACATTTTACATTAGAAGAAATATATTTCAGCCATATTTTCCGCTGGGCCCCCATAGAACACACGTTTCTGTTCTTATCTTCTCTGGTGCCCTTTCATTAATAGACCCCATCGTTTTCAGGACCCGTTTTTATCCAATTCCAAGGGCCAGCGGCCCAGAGTGTACCCTGGGGTGCATGGCCGCAAGGTGGGGTACACCCTAGACTGGAGGACGCACACAGTCAGACACACACACACACACACACCGGCCCACTATGTCCACTATGGACTGTGTAGCCGAGCTGGAGCACCGCAGGAAACCTGCGCGAGCCTGAGAAGAACATGCGAACTCCACAAGGACAGCCAGCACTGCCCCGTCAAGCCCCTCCTGCCATTGGCTCTCCTGACATTGCTGCTCATCTTCTCCGCTCCACAGGGGGAAAGAGTTCCACGACAGGACAGGCTGACAGGTGACCTGCACATCTTCGATTCCATCTTCTCGTTTCTTTCACCTCCATTTAAAGTGCGACTGGCCGTTTTTGCCCACTGGCCTGTCGCGACGGGACCCCGTTGTCTGTCATCGTCGGGAGTTATCATCTGGGTTATAATGGCGGTTGGACTCGTATGTGTCTATACTCTATGGATGGCAAGGGTGCCTAGCTCCTGACTGGAAGGTCCCGGGTTCAATCCCAGGTAGGGGATCCTTCCGGGGGGAACAGGCCGGCCGGAGCGTGATGCTGACCACATCACCTCCACCTCCAGTGTCGGATGGTCAAGAAAAATGGTGCCCCGTTGCCCCCTGTTCCCCCATGGGCCTTTATAGCCTACTTATACTGTATATGTATCTATGTGAACGTCAGTCGTTTGCCCCTCAGTCTTTATTTAGTCGTTTATACTCCCCTGAAAGTATTCAACCCTCACTAGGATGTGTTATCTGGCCTGGTGACTTGAACACGATAGAAAACCAGTAAAAAGAAATTGCTGTCCATCCACCTAAGCCAAGGAACCACGAACTTCAGTGACTCTGGGAAGAAGAATTGGTGAAAATTACAATCTCCCCACGTACAAAGTTGCCTGAAACTTATCCAAAAGGATTCGGAGCTGTAATTGCTACTTAAGGATTTAGTCAACACACTTTTTAGTACAGTATATTTCTTCGCAGTTTTAGCTCAAATGTACTTTATTTCACCCATTTATTTCACCCATTCAGGCTGCGCATTTAAGGTTTGACTGAAACATTCACTTTAAAGACATGTATGTCATATGTAATATGTATACCTCGTCTGCCATCCAATAACATACCACAGCATTCGAAGGGGGATGAATTTTAAGGCACTGACGTTTGGGCAGGTTCGGATGCTGCTAATGAAGCAGAAACCCGGTGTATCTCTGGAGTTCGTGTCTGGAAGAGATGATCCCCTGTATCTACTGTAGCTCTCCGAAACACCAGCACCTGCGCGCTGTAAGGGTGTGAAACGATTAAATGGGTGGAACCCAAATCTGAAACAGAAGATAAACGCCTTGTCAAATTTCACTACGTAACGCCCATCCACTGAATGATAATAACGAAAAGAATAACATTAATGTACGAAATATATCAGTCATTCTCCATTTTGACACATTTACAGATTTTGCAACTATGCAATCAGTGTATACGGGGCAAATGAGTCTTTAATCAGCTTCAGCTTCAACATAAGAAGGAAACGCCACGTTGGTTGTGTGAAATACAAGTTTAAATACTTGAAGTCAGTATGAAGTAACATCTGCCCCTGTCCGTGCGAGATGTCGAAGAATTTCACGTTTTAATCCCGTGCACCGTAACATGATAGAACAAACTGATCCTTAAAACTTAGTGAAAAACAAACACAGATGTAGCCAACTTTGCTTAAATAAGCAGGCCTGTATACATGTAACCACGTACATAGCGTACTGTGGAGCGGTTCGGGTGAGGAGCGCACCCGGGCCCTCCAGGAACACGGCGCCTATGTCTGTACCGATATATGAGGTCTGCCGTCCCTTCGCCCCAGGATAGCGACCCCCCCTTCCAAGCTCGATCTGATCACGCTGGATAAAGCCGGAACCCTGCCCGGCAAACGCGGGCGCAAGGCAGGGCCGGACGTCCAGAAAGGTCAGAGAGGTCAGCTGGGAAAAAAAAATCCCAGTGTCAAAGGTGTTGTCCAGAATCAGAGTAGCGCACCCTCTTTACGGAAGACGCGCCGTTTGAAACGAAGCTTTCTGAAGCAATAGGGTACATTTAAACTAAAACCTCCCTCCACCGGGCTGTGTATCATAAACCGTAGCCCTGATGCACTACAAAACCTTGCAAAAACAGTTAACAGGATTGTGAAAAAAAAGTCATGATTTTTTATTTTATTTTACAATGAGTGTGGCAGTTGACAGCGCGAAAACCTTCCAGGTCTCCCCTTACATCTCAGTGTAGTTCACAGCCGCCTGCTTCACTGGGGATACTGTACCTTTCTCGCCTTTAGGTGGACAATAAAGGGAATTAGAACATCCTTTACAGCACGTAAACGCCTCAGAATTAAATGCGATATGTGATGTGATCTGTAAGGTAAGACATGTATATGTACGGATTATTATAAGAAGCCCTGAATTTCGAAGCTTCTTAATAATAATAAACTCTATTTTAAATAGCGCCTTTAAAGGTGGCTTCCCAAAGCGCTTTACAGAATGACCACAACAATAAATAAAAAGAATACACAAGATAAAACACAATGACAATATACAGAGGAGACCGTGGGTGGTGGTACTAAGAAGAGCAGAGGGGTGAAGAATGGAACCTGTTCAGTAAAGGCTCTTCTAAAGAAGAGGGTTTTGAGTCTGGATTTGAAGGAGTTTAGAGAAGGTGATTCTCTGATATCCTTGGGCAGAGAGTTCCAGAGCTTGGGGGCATAACAGGAGTTTAACTCACGGTTAAACCCCCCCACCATGAACATGCATCAATTATATTTATTATTATGTAAATTAAAAGCCCTGTAATTTTATTTTACCTTGGATCCTTTAGGGAAATAGAAAAAAAATGTGTGCAATTTGTGAAATATATATATATACACTATCCCCATCCATTTTGTGTGCTCTTTGTGTGGAGGGGACGAGGGGTGCTGGTGCGGACGGCGGAATCACCCAAAAGCTGGCGGATTTCGCCACGTCATGGTTTTTCCTGCGTCCTGCCCAAGGCAGGCTTCCCGCAGCCAATGAAATTAGCTCAGAGGGGTTGAGCCGGCGCTGCTGGCGCAATATAAGGAGCTCCTGGCAGGTCCCTGGCCAGCAGGTTCCGTTCCGCGTATTTTGATCCAGGTGGAAAAGCCGAAACAGCCGCAGCCATGAGTCTCTCCGACAAAGACAAGCAGCATGTCCAGTCGATTTGGTCCAAAGCCTCTGGCAGGCTGGAGGACATCGGCAACGAGGCTCTGTCCAGGTAAGGCTCATTCCTGTCTTTGATAAAGTACACACTTCAGTGTTTTCTTTTTGTAGACTGCATCTGACCGTGTATCTCCTGTTCTTCCCCAGGATGCTCATCGTCTACCCCCAGACCAAGACCTACTTCGCCCACTGGAGTGACCTGAGCGCCGGGTCCGCTCAGGTGCGCGCACACGGAAAGGTCATCATGACCGCCGTCGGCGATGCTGTCGGCCACCTCGGCGACCTCAAAGGCTTTCTGAGCCACCTCAGCGAGCTGCACGCTTACAAGCTGCGTGTGGACCCTGCCAACTTCAAGGTAGGTGACCCCTCAGCGCCGGGTCCGTTTCTGTAGCTCGTAACGGAGCGAACACTCGAGAAGTGTGAGTCTGACGGCTTTGTCTGATTTCATATACTAACACTTCTGGGTGACTTGTGTCCAGATACTTCTGAAGGTGTAAAGGTCAGCTGTGCAGGACGCGTTTTAACGTTTTAAGGTGCTGTGCGCCCGTGTAAAATGCTTTAGTGTCCAAAGTGTCCATGCTGTGCGGTCTGCGTAGAAAAGCCCGTGTGCCGCGTGTCTGAAATGTGTGTCTCAATGTTTTTTCCAGATTCTGTCCCACAACATCCTGGTGGCTCTGGCCATTTACTTCCCTGCGGACTTCACCCCCGAGATTCACGTCTCCTTCGACAAGTTCCTGGCCGCTCTGTCTCTGGCTCTGGCGGAGAAGTACCGCTAAGGCGCAGACACGGAGGAGCATCGGGCAGAATTCTGCGGATCTGTCAAACGTTGTCAGTCAGATGTTATCTAAACAGTAATAAAGATAATGCAGTGAATTAAGTTTCCGCCTACGTGTGTTTTTTGCCCGGTTCTCACCAAATCCCAGTTTTATAACACTTTTCTGCAACTGACACGTAGGTAGTTTCATAACGTGTATATTCCGTTGGGAGCCTTTCCACTGGTATTAAGGTTTTCATTCTCAGCAAACTGTCAGCAAAAGTCCCAACTTAAGTGGTGAAAATAAAGATGATCGTTAGGCAAAGACTGGAGACAACAGGACAAAGACATGGACAAAGACTGAATTCGTCTTACAGACGAATCACAGTTCCGGGTTATAACCGTAATGGTCTGTCTCTCTTCAATCCACTCTCTACGGTATAAGACATTACCTTTGTGCAAAATAGTATTGGATACAATGGTTCAGTACTTGACCAAACACTAAAAATATCATATGAGTATTAAAAGAAGCAATAGACGTTATATCCAGTTGTCAAATAATATCCCCACCAATGCGTACCAATTAATGTCTGCCAGACATTTTGCACGGAAAATACTAAAGACACTAAAAGAGATAAAATATCTAATGGAATGAATTACACTCCACGGATTCCACCAAACACTGAATGCACAAAAATAGTTTGAACATCCAAAGGCGAAGTAGTAACTCTTCTACGGTGTAAACCAATATATATATATATGCGAGACGTAATTATATTTAATAGCTGAATGCATGAGAAAATACAAAATAAATATATCCTAGCATGATTAAAACAGCAAGCAGTATTCATATCTAGAATTTACAGAACTAAAGAACTAAGAGCTACAGTAACCAAGAGGGGACAGCATTAGACCATTTTTGTGCAACATACATACATTGCTTACAGCACTTTTTATTTGAATCCAGAAACAAGTGAAAATCGATTATTTATTTTTGACACTTTGAACCTCCCGAGGTACTTCTTCTCCAGAGCAAAATAAAAATAAATAAAAAACTGACAGATATAAGCAAGATAAAGCGGTTCTCAGCATCTCTAAAGACCTTTTAAGAACACAAATGTAAGGATCTCATCCTTTCACTTCATTTGAAAGAGCCCGAAGCCCGACGTATTAGCCTCAAACACGTGGCTTTGCTGCTTGCCCAGGACTCCCAGAACCCTTTGCGTAAGGTCTTGTCTTTTCTGTTTTTCAGAGCTCAATGGTTTCTGATAGCTCTATGCAGATGCCCAATAGAATGATATACACATGTCAATGTATTGATGCAACCTATGCTTGAGCTGGGCTATGCCGTGCAAAGCTGTTCTTGTGTGTGAGCAGTGATAACATCAAAATTATTAATAGGGATTAATTATTAATTAATAATAATTATTAAATAAATAAATCTAATAATCCGTAATAAAAGCACGCCGTTTTTCCCGTTTCCTCTAGAATTTGAACAAAAAATAAACAGGGGCAACCTCTAAACTCATCCACTGCGGGTGGTAATGAATAACAAAATATATATATATATTTTAAAAGAAACGGACAGAATTATCGGGTGGAGCTGATCGGGAAGTGTAGATAGTCTCTGGCACGATTCCACTAAGTACGCCCGTCAAACACACTAAAGATTAATGAACTATCTGGAGTACAAGGCGTTTCCGCATTCATCTGCCATCGCGACTACTTAGTGACCTTGTGTCAACTGGTGTATTTTATTTATTTTAAATAATTTTAAATAATGTTAAAGAAAATTTGCGTCTTCCCAGGAAAGACGTGCCCTAGAGGCGCCAGAAAAGCAAGTCAATAATACTCATCGTTGTACACAGTACACTACTCGCACGAATAGTTTTATATCACATCGATCAGAATATCCGTCAATATGCCGTCGTAGTTGCCAATAAAATCCATAACTGACTCAGGTGTTCCTCGTCATTAAGAGAGTTTCTCTCTACAAATGCATTTAGCTACGGGGCTCATTTTGATACTATAAAATATGGATCTATAAGAGATACCTGTTATCTTAAAACAAAATAGCAGAAAGCTCGTAGGAAGATGACCATAACATTTCTGTATAGAAGGTAAAACTTCACAATAGTGGAAAGATGTGAAATGTCAAAGCCTCTTGCACAGTCGGATATATGCATTTTATATCTAAGAATCACAACATTTTGAAGTAAGTATACCATGTGTTCATGGACTCGGTGGGTCCAATCGCTTTTTTTAATCGAAGGCTAATACAAACATCAAGGGTCAGCCCTTTTTTTCAGCCTGTTTTTTTCCTTTCGTTGAATGTAATTATATTCTTTCGCTGTAACTGTGTTTGCCGGGGCACCCCTGGTTTGTGAGATTGTGCCGGGTTCTGGCCCGGTGCCTCCGGTGAGGCGCCCGTCGTCCAATCACACTGCCCGGCATGTCTGTGGGCGGGGCCGCTCGGTGCCCATAAAGGTGCGGCGCGTGCCGCCTGCCTGCCAGCACGGGATTCTGTCTGGATAATCTGTCGCTAGAAGCCCGGAGACCCCCCCCCAAAACGCCGCCACCATGGTTCACTTCACAGATGCCGAAGCAAAAGCCATCAAGACCGTCTGGGGGAAAGTTAACGTCGACACAGTCGGACCTCAGGCTCTGGCCAGGTAACCCGCCGTGATGTCCTTTGCTACGTGCATGCAGTTTAAAGAGTGTTCGCTAAATACACAGCCTTGCGCGGAAACTAAGTAATTAAGGGAACGGACATAAACACTATACGCTTGGTAACTACTTATGCATGCGCAAGTGGTCCTGTACGTTTCCTTTTTCCTAACCGGGGTGTAATAAAGGTGTAAGTCTCTTTCCATATTTGAAAATGGCCGTCTTCATTTCCTATTGGTTTATTGATGGTTTGCATCAGGCTTCTGATCGTGTACCCCTGGACCCAGCGCTACTTCGGCGCCTTTGGGAACCTCACCAATGCCGCCGCCATCCTCGGGAACGCCAAGGTGGCGCATCACGGCAAAGTCGTGCTGGGCGCGCTGGACAAGGCGGTGCAAGACCCGGAGCACATCACGGCGAACTACGCCAGCCTGAGCGAGCTGCACTCCACCAAACTGCATGTGGACCCCGACAACTTCAGGGTGAGTCGGGACGGCTGGCGCCTCTCCCGGGACTTGTGCATTAACAAGTATTTTCGGCTCCATTAACTTCTCTCCTGTCGGTTTCTCTCGCAGGTGCTGGGCGACTGCATCACCATTGTCCTGGCCGCCCAGCTCGGCACCGGCTTCACCGTCGAGCTCAACGCCGCCTTCCAGAAGTTCCTGGACGTGGTCATCGCTGCCCTGCGCAAGCAGTACCACTAGAGCCACAGACGAGACCGCGAGGGTCCAGACTCTCGCCGGAACCACAGCCGCACGGCCGAGCCGTGTCCAAAGTTAAACCCGCTGTGGGTCACCTGTGGAGCCGAACACCCGCTTGTACGATTTAATAAACCAAATAAAATATCAAAAGCTCTACGACGCGTTTCTGTGTTTTTTTTTTCCTCCCCCTGGTTGTCTACAGTAAGAGATACACAGAGGTGTACTGAGTAGGGAGGATACAAAAGATTATTGAAGAGGATTGCGGTGATAATTCATGTTTTCTGGTAAACTTGAATTGCTCAATACGAAAAGAGTGCAAAACACTGCGACATACGAGTGCTAAACCGCAAGTAAATTCCTCAAAAATTGATATGAGATGTATTTCCGTTTGAGTGAAGGATCCTGGGACCTGTTTCAGGACCCTGGTCATGAATCGGAGCACACAAGGCGCAATTAAACAGTGCGTGCTCTCGGCAGCGCCGAGCCCAGAGCACCCTGAACACACCTGGTAGCGCTAAGCAAGCTGGGGCTGGGCTGTTGCGACTTTTCTAGAGCCACCTGCACAAGAGGAAGATAGCCTTATTTTTGGTCTTTTTTGTTTGTTTGCCGCAACGTCGAAAGTTTTAGCTCAACATACATTTTCCCCAGATAGTGCAGTATGTTTAATGGCAGATAAAGTTCCAAAAATGTGCAACTTTTGCGAAATTCAAGTTGGGACAGAAGTGTTAGCAGAAGGCTTGGTTTATGCACGGTTTCTCTGGCTGTGTTGAACTAAGTGGTGATCAGAATGCTTAGTGTGCTTGTTGTGCATACCCGGCAGCTACACAATAATCCACGCGGCTATCGCTGTCGCCTTGATGTGCAGCATTTCATTGTCATCACCGCCATCGGCAGCCGGAGGAACTCGTGGGAGCCGCCTTGGCTTCTGCTGAGGGAGAAGCAGCAGGTGGAAAATAAGCCCTTTGTCACGGGACAGAAAGAGGGTAAGAGCGGGCAGGGGGGGGGCCACTCGCCAAGTCCAACCCGTCTGGCAGCCAGGAGCTTATTGATCCGAGAAGCGCGTCCGTTTCTTGAAAATCGCCAGGGTATCGCCCGGCTGGGCGGCTTGTTCCCCACTCCCACCACCCTGCAGGTAAAGCAGTGTCTCCTGTCCCCGGTTTTATATTTGCTCTTGTCTATCACGGATTCCAGAGCAGCGATATATAGTTTTATATGGACTTGACAACTGCAAATATGTTTGCTCAATGACATTCCGCACATCATTCTGGCAGATAGAGTAGGAGGCGCTGTATTACAGGAGCACAATAAACACAGCACAACGCCCCCCCCCCCTCATCGAGAATCAGCCGTTCTCTTCCCTCACGTACCGGTCCGGCCGTGTTCAGTGAAATTCCGGTATTGTTGTTGAATATACAGGTAGGGATGACAATTCAGAGGCAGGCTTTCAGATGTAAAGTGCTTTGGGATCAAAATTAAAGGCGCTATATAAAGGCAGTTTTTATTTTTTAATTAAATGTTATTAAAAGTATAACAACACTTAAAACAGATTCTAGATGATTTCTTTATATAATATTTCTATAAAGTTATTAGTGTTGAAAACTGTTGTTGACTTGGTGGTATAATAAGACGTTTTTCTTTTATTCGGAAGCTTTTGGTGCTTCACGGTTTTGTGCATTGTTGTTGTACCAGGAAGCATAAGCGCCCCTGACTTTCTCACCGTAACAACAACGCCAAGGGTAGCCTTTGACTTCTTTTCGTCGTGCACAAAAAGGTTTACTCGAGTGTTTTCATCTCCTCTCCGCTGCCGGTGTATCTGGCACGGTGTGGAAAGGCAGCAAGTTGACATACAAGGCCTAACGAGGGGTTGGCGTTTCATTCAAAGTACAACTTTACTTGTGTGTTTTTTTTTAAATACACCTCCACCTTTAACCCATCTTCACGTCCAAAAGGGATAAATTGACTCTTTGTGCGAGGAAACTCAAACCGTAATTGAAATCAGGTGCGCCATAGAACCCACTGAAGCATTGCCCAACAGCCACCGTTAGGAGCTGGACTCGTATTGTGGTCTCTAGCGCCATCTACAGGACGGAGTCTAGAAGGTGTGACGTCTATATGACCGGATGAGCAGTCCCAGAGGACACCTGGGTGCTTTCACACAGCGTGACGAGTCATTCTGCTTTTTAGTTTTCGTATGTATTTTATTTCTTTTTGAGAAAAGATGAATATTAGCCGATTACTATTAAACTCTTTGCGGATTGGGATCGTGCCATGGTACATTCTAAGCAAATGCAATGCTGTTGTTTTCTTTTTAATGTAAGACTATGATTGTGTATTCGCTGAGATAACATTAGGACTTGGTTCGAGTGTTAACTCCTACTTTAACCATTTCCAAGCGGAAAGGAGAAACTGTTGTTGTTGTTTTTTTGGTGTACTTTTTAGCACAAGTACGTCTTCTATGAATTTTTTTTTTGGCACAGAGCGTCACTCACGCAAAATAAAATTATTTTAACTTAAAATAAACGTTAAAAGTAACTGTGCTGAGGGGAAAAAATAGCATTACAGGTGTCTTCTTTACGAATTGAATTACAGTAAGTACATTATTGTAAATACAGTATTGTGCTTTTCAGAGCGATGGTGGCGCAGCTGCAGGGGAACCGGTTCGCTGGTTCAAGTTCTGAAATCTTTAAAGGTCTGCAGTAGCATCTTTCATCCTGTAGAGGGGGATAGACGCTATTCGCCTAAGAGCGAGCAGAAGAAATCTCCCTTTATAATACTTTCAGCAGTAGCTCAGTATCTGGGAAGAGGGAAGGTCACACGCACTGATTCATGTACTTTTCCTGGAGGGTAAAAAGATCAGAAATAAATCCGGCGTAAACACACAACCTGCCAAGTGAGGAAGAAGTTTAATTTGAACTGGCCACACGTCTCAGCTGGGACTACGCAGACTTCAGCAGGAATCATCAACCAGCCCTGAGAACTCCAGTTCAGCAGGTTTTAATATGGTTTTAATCCTAATTATCTATTCAAGGGAACGTAAACTAGTGGGATCCAAGAAATTATGAATCATAATGTCAT